AATATAATTTTCCTTTACTTTGAAATCATCTACTTCTCCAGTTGCGTTATAGTTGGACTTGTACACCCATTCAACTCCAATTGAACATTCTATAGGTTCTAGAGTAATGCCACCAATAGATATTTCATCTTACTCCTTGAAATATGTAATCTCGAACAATGACACAAAATTTATTTCATCTTCAATACCTATAATCATGTGTTGTAGTTTTGGATCCCAAGCTATTTTTTTCTCAATCTTGTGCAGATCATCAGAGACATTCTCTTGATGAACCATCTTGCTTTTTTCGTTAATAGGTTCATCTTCAATACTATCAAATAACGTTTTAGGTGAAATACCAACCTCTTTTAGACGAACGTCCCTTACAACCAAATCTTCCTTTCTAAACAACCGGAGAAATGTTTGGCTGAGTATTATTTGACTTCCCTTCGCATTCAATGTAGACATGTAATTTTTGACCCTCCACGAGATTGTACATATTTTAGCATTTAAATATTTAGTTTATGCCCAATATCGCTATTTCAACTAGTTTTGACTCTTTTACTTTATTCAATCACAAAAATAAAAATTACAAAAAAATATTTTCTTTTATTTAGGTAATTGATATTTTATCTTCTACCTTTCATAAAATTCAAAAATACAAAAATAGTTCCACTTTGTTTTCAGGAATATTAGTAGTTTGGTAGGAATATTATTTTAATTTTGCAATGATTTTAATCTAATTCCATTTTTATCTTTTAGTATGATATTTGAAAAATACCAAAAATAGGTTTGTTTTAACGGTTAGTTTTATTTTAATAGTTATTTTACTTAAGTAGGATTAATTAGTAAATGGGGTAGTATTTTTAGTCTTGTTCAAGGAGAAAGAATAAAATTTGGGCTCAAACAACCCATTTTTAGGCCCAATTTTCGGACCCTTAGCCCATAATCCAAGCCCAATACCCATAAAACCCTAACACTTTAAAGGAGACCCCTTCTTCTTCTTCAACCCTAGACCTAACCCCAATCCCCCTTAACCTAAACCAGCCTCCATCGCCGCTCCCTCCCTCATCTCCATCTTCAACTCCAAAGACCTAAGAGCTCCCAGCTGCACCTTCTTCTTCACGCCAAACAACCACCCTCAACACACCCCATTCTAGCCATCTCCCCCCTCCATCGCCACTACTTCTGACAAAAAAAAAGAACCCTGAAGAGACCCTTGAAAAAACCCTAGCAGCTCCATCACCTCTCCCAGCCGTCGCAGAAAGCTAACAGCCAGATTCTTCTGTCTCTAACGTCCCTCTCTCTCTTCTTTTGGAGTCGTTGCTGCGTCGCTGTCTTCTATGGCGAAGTGACCGGCAACGACGTCCTCTCTCCTCCCTCAGTTTGGTTGCCATCGCCGATTGCTGCGACTAGCCACGGCCAAAACGACCTCATTCCTCGTTTTTCCTCACTCCGTTTTGTTGCTGACAGTGCGCTGACAGATCTGGCCGGAGCGCTGACAGATCTGGCCGGAATTCCATTACGGGGGACCCCCACACACAGAGTCTAAAAAACAAATTCAAAAATAGAAATCAAAAAAGAGAAAAAAAAAGAAAAATAGAATGTTCTGCTTTCTTCACTCTCAATATCAGATGTTGGTTCTAAAAATGGGTTTTAATTGAATCGAAATTCGAGTTCGTTGTTCGAGGTCCGCTCGGGGTATCGTACGAGGATCCAATCCAAGCTCGTCCATCTGATTTATTTTGTGGTTAACGGTATCGATTAAGGTCCATTCCCTTCTATTTTCTCTTAAATCCTTTAATTTTATTATGTGATTGTCTGTTGATATGTTTCCTCATAATGTTCTCTTTGAAGTGATTTGAAGTTAGTATCTGTCTTATTATCGAAAACGTGACGTTCAATATCTAGAATCTAATTTACTCGTGGTGATTGACTTGGACGTCTCATGAATCAATTGAAGGAAGAAAGTGAACTAATAGGTTAAGTTGAATTAAAAGGGGCAGTGGTATTGAAAAATTGAAAAAAACAGAATTGTGTTTAATGTGACTTGTTTTAATATTTCTGATTAGTTATTATTAGCTCTTTCATTGAACGCTAGGAGCATGACTCAGGCCGGCCACACTTAGGTAGGCAAACCTTTAGGGCATTCGTGCTTTAGCTTGTTTTGTGGTGAGAGGTCACCCCTTTAGTTAAATTTATCCGAGGAATGCCCCGTAGACATTATATATATTTTATACGGGGTATGCCCCGAAGACTTTATATTCGGAGGTAGACAGTAGAACTCGTAGTATTTTTATTTTTGTTTTTATTTTTATTTTTTCTTTTATTAGGTGGGGACGACTTCGAGCCTCTTGTGTGTTTATTTTTACCTCAATTTGAATATTTTAAAAGCCAACTAGATCAAGTATGCAACCGTACTAGTTACGGGACTTGGGGAGTGCCTAACACCTTCTCCCCAAGTCAAATGAACCCCCTTACCCGAATCTCTGGTGTAGACTTAGTTTTGGAGTCCAAAGTGTTTTAGAAGGAAAAATCATTTTTTTTAAAATGGTGACCTGGCACATCGAAATCAAATGACAGGCGACGACTCTGAAAATCCTTTTGAAACACAATCTTTTTGTCACTTTTCATAATTGAAATCCTTTCGATCTTCAAAATCACTTTTATTAATTTAAGAGGGTTAGTGTAGGTAAAAAAAAAGGGTGTGACAGCTTTGGCTACTCTACTAGGAAGTTGTAGGTTCGAGCTGATACTTGATCTTGTTGGTTTTTAGGATATTCGATTGAGGTGTTTGTTTTCTTTATTTGCTTTATTTGTTTAGTTTGTTTGTCTTATGTCACGACCCGGATTTCCCACCATCAGAGTCGTGATGGCGCCTACTCGTGGTAGCTAGGCAAGCCAACTTAATCACCTTTCAATCACTAGCAATTATCTTTAATAGTTTATAACATCAATATAGAACATAAGTCTAATAAGAACAATAGCGGAAGTCTGTCTTAAAAATGGTGAATTTAAAACGCGAAATAGTCAAAACAACCTCTACCCAAGATTTGGTGTCACATTACTCACGAACCACTAAGAATAAACTAAATACAAAGGTCTGAAAGAAATATAACAGCTGTCTGTCTCGAAACAAGGAGGCAACAGTCTAAAAGAAAATAATGAGAAGAGACGCCGGGCCTGCGGACACCTGCAAGGCTACCTCAGTCTCGTGATATGGAAACCTGCTCCCGTACTACTGCTGCTGCTGCTCCTCAAAACCTGGACCTGTGCAAAAATGCACAGAAGTGTAGTATCAGCACAACCGACCCCATGTGCTGGTAAGTGTCTAGCCTAACCCCGACGAGGCTAGACCGGACACCATATAAACCTGTGCAGTTATAGATATACAGCGGAAATCGAATACAAAGCAATTACCAACATGGGAGGGGGAAACATGCTATGGGGAGTTACAATAATAACAATAATCCAGAGTAACAACTAAAAACAGCGTAGGTTCACAAAGAATAAAGAATCAATACTCAAATACAAACACATAGCCTCAACAATTGTTGCGGCGTGCAACCCGCTCCACAATATCATTTATCATATATCATTGTTGCGCAACAGGTCTCTGATGCTCGTACTTTACCTGCCACGTGTGTGCTAAAATTAAAAGGCTTGGATTCAACAAGTGTGTTAACATTATTCTAACTGTTTTTAAATTCTTTATGCATAAATAAAATTTATTTAATTTAAAAAAAAAAACAATATATTGTTTGGACCAAACAAATTCACCCCTTTCAAGTTTCAACCATTAAGTGGTGAAATCTTCCGTGCTATTGCTATATTATTTATGTAATTTATGTAGAATTATTTATGTAATTTATGTAGATCAGATGTTCTTATATTATTATTCTCATTAAATTTAAATTCCAATTGGAATACTTTATAAAATTAGGAAAGAATATTTAAGAATAAAATATATTTTCAAGTCCCTTTTTCCTATAGAATTTGATATTTATTCAAATTGAATAAAAAGGATCCCTCTCTAAAACATGATTTTGAGAATCATCTAAACCAAAAATTAAGACAATTAAATTGGAAAAACTTTTTCTCTTTAAAATCATTATATATTAGGTAGCATAATAAGTATCATTATGAAGGATTATACTTCTCCCATTATGATCAAAGTTAATTGGGTACTTCCTCTGTGTTCAATAAAGAGTTCAACATTATATAAATTTTAAAATACGTAAATATAAACTTAACTATTTTTAAAAATTTTCAATAAATAATTATGGTGAAGAAAGTTCTATTACCCCCCTAATAATATCTCAATCATATCAAATGAAAACAAAAAAAAACTGTAATACTTCAATTTATAGTCAATTTGATTAGTATTTAGAGCATTAATTTATGTCATTAAACTAGAATAAAATACAAATGTTCTTGTTAAAAAATTCTGAATAATAAAAAATTATGATTATTATTTCAAAGAATCCCAAAAAAATACCTTATCATCAACTATTTGGGAATAAAATTAATTGGTATTATAATTCAAAAAGTAATACACTAACACGATTGAAAATACTAAAAGGGTAAAACTATATATTATTCAATTTAATCAATGAGAATATACATTACGACTTATTTTTCAACTGACTTTTTAATTATTTTTTATAATCGATTTTAAGTTGGGTGGCACAGAACTTTTTTAAAAATAAAAAAGTGTGGAACCTATGTAGAAATACTCTAATTATACTTGAAGTATTATATAATATTTGTATAATAAAGTGTCAAACTTCGACATTACAAAGTGAATAGTACAATAATACAAATCTTTAGAAAAATTAAAATACAAATAACGAAAAAAAAAATAACAATACAAATAACCGTGGTTCTATACGTTATTAGACAAAAGCATATTTTCTTTCTTCTTTTCCTAAAGAAGATCAAGTGTGTTATTAGCGATAAGATCAAAAATATTAAAAGAAAAAAAAGAAAAAGAAAAAAGAGCAACAGTTGGGCCGTGCAACTAATACACAATCATTGTCATCCTATATACCAAGCAACTAATCTAAGGCATAAAAAGTTTGAAACAGTGCAAAAAACTTCAAGCTGTTTTCCACATTACATACAACTGAATGGCTGTTGGAAATTTGGATACATAAGGAATCATTCTTTTTTATGTACAAAGAGAGGGAAAGAGGAAAGTTACAGGTATAGAAAAAGAAAAACTAGAAAATGGCTAGGCAAGAAATAGTAACAAAGGTTGGCCACTGGGAAAATTGTCCCTGGAAACAGGGGATATCGGAAACTGTTTCAGAAGTCGTAATCTATGTCCGATGCATTCTGAGAATCAGAACGTCGTATCAGATGTCCTTGCTCGTCATATAGGTCAAGGTTCTCACAAGGGGCGGGGAAGACAGTACCTATAACACGACCTTGAACATATGCACACTGGAATATGTGCTTCTTCTTGTATGTTATCCCAATCGACATATCTGTGAAAGTCACGTTCTTCACTGGAATTTCTGAATTTCCATGGATACGCACGGGCACACGAACTCCCTCACCGTGTACTGATACGTAGCTTATGTCCTCTAGTACTGGTACGGCTTTGGGATCAAACTCCCCATCAGGATGTTCATTGTAATCTGTTTTGATGACAATTCCCACCCTAACATTTTCAAATGTCAAATTCCTGTATGCTATGTGTCGTACGTATCCTCCTCTACCAGCTGCTGTTTTGATGCGAACAGCACGCCTTGAGTTCCAGACATGGACGTTTTCCACAGTGACATTTGATACCCCACCAGACATCTCACTTCCTATCGATATGCCCGCACTGCCAAGATGTTCAACCAGAGTGAATATCATGTAATGTAAATTATTGTGTTGCTCTTATGATTCTAATATTAATATATGTCAAAATATCATAGGTGCAACTGTTGTAAAAAACATCCGCGCCATGAAAAGGAATGGAAATGCACAAGCCTATTTGGAGACCTTACCTGACCATTGAACGAACGACAAGATTTCGGATGACTATATTTGTTGAAGGGCGTCCATAGGAAATTCCGTACTGATCCCAACCACTCTTTATCGCAATGCCATCATCACCAACACTGATGTAACAGTTCTCGATCAACATATCTTCACATGAATCTGTTCACACCATACTAAAATATCAAGAGTTGATACTGAGAAAGAGGGGAATAAGTAAACAATAAAGAAGTGCATATAGTGTATCAAAGTCTTTTAGAATAATATCAATGGAAAAATTATGTTACCAAAATTAGCTTCAGATATTTTAGCTTGGTTATTATTGATTTGATTAACTAATCAGAAGGTTCCGCAAGAAATCAATAAGATTTAGTCTAAAATATAATTATTCACAGCTGACCCCACATATAACGCTGACTGAACCTAATCCTCAGTTATAAAAGTGGTTACTAGCTCAAGGTTTTCTATTCACCTGGATCTATGCCATCAGTATTTGGAGCATGAAAGATGGGTGCCAAAATTGTGACATTCTTGATTGTTACATTCTTGCAGTCGTATGGATGGAGCGTCCAAAATGGAGAATCACGTAATGTTATATTAGAGATCACTATGTCACTAGACCACATAATCTGGACAAGCGGCCCTCTGGTGTTGTTAAGAAGCCTTTGTTTGTACTTCTTCCACCATGTTTGACCCTGCCCGTTAATGGTACCATTATGCCCTGTTACCAAGAAAACATGCACATAATCAGATTAATTTGGTTCGCTTCATACTTCTGCAAACATTTTAAAATACTTCACTCTTCAAAATCTGTAAGTGCAAAGCAGTGAGTAAAGTACATGTATCATCAAATCTTACTTATTTCACTGCTGGAACCCATTTCATTCCAATACTCAGCAGTGGACTTAGTCACTAGCAATAATAATGATGACAGTATAACTAATATTAAAATAGAAATACATCACTATGTTCAACAACTTGGAAACTGTAGGAACTTCGCATAGCAAAATACTTGCTGTTTCCGGTGAAGTTACAGGGTCAGTGTGATAGCTACAAACATTCAGAAACAAGCCGCAAACCTGTGATTACAACATCTCTGAGATTTTGGCCATGTATTAAACTCCCATAGCGTGGTCCAATATGCTCTCGCCCATATCCATATGAAGGCAAGGGAGGCATGAGAGGCCAGTACTTCTCATCCTGTTAAGCAACAGATATACACAGAGAAATACAGAAACGTAAGTTCAGCAATTTAAAATATACAATTAGATATATGAAAAAGTTATCAGGCTATTTTAACCAACTAACAAATGGAACTAATTGTAAAAGAACAGAAAACGCCACCATATAGACAGAACTTGCAGTTCATCCATTAGGACTTGAATCCCCTTCTTTAACTTTGCATAGTGATTAATATGAGAAACTTCTTATGGATTATATTTTCCAAGAAAGTGGATCCTGGTACCAACAAAATAAAAAGCTGGACATATTTGGAATAGAGCAAGTAGGCATGTCACTTCCATAGAGGAAACGAAATTCAGCAGTCTACACTGAACTAACTACTAAGCAGGCTCAGCACCTTTCTTAACATGGAATTCTCCCTATGGAATATTGTTAAGATTGCACCAATAAATAGATAGGATTAAGTTAAATAGTGGGTGAAACCAATGTGTTTCTAACACATCTCTTGGTTAGTATGTACATAACAGTGTTGAAGAATAATATGATCCATCTCCTCAGATTGCAAGTACCTCATTCATTTTTTCCAACAACAAACTAAGGGTACTGAGTCCACAAACTCATTCCATAACCGTGTGTTCATTGTTCCCTGAAATGGTTTTATGCGCAAGCGGTTTCAGTTCTTGTGATTGCATGAATTTATCCAGTTCAACCTAGGAAAAAGTGGAACTGTGTTTGTACTACACAGTTTAGCAGGTGCTGAAGCTTTACATAACTACTGGAGACGCGAAACCACCCTTTCGTTAAACAGAAATCATGTTGTGGAGGTTCACATTTTGTAATGGGACAATTGGGGTTTCAATATAATAGCCAAAGATGCAAAGAGCTTCAAACATTAGATGTTCAAAATTCAAAGTACTTTCTGAGAAGTAGGTAATGACTAATGAGTGTAGAAGGCCTCAAGCAAATGATAGTTTCCAAGAACTTATAATACGACCATTCTACAGATGTAAGAGGAGAACTTTTCCCAAGGCTGTCTGTGATTTTGTTATTTGCCAACTGCTTGTTATTTCTTAAAATCACATTGGCTCTAAGCAGCGAGGCATAATTATTATGTTTGACATTATGCAACCCCTTTAAGCAGCTACTCTGGTTACTCTACAGTCGACAATGTATGTGGGTAAATTATCACCAGCAGTTCAAAACAATCCTCTAAGCCAGTTACTTATTTACCTTTTTAAGCAACACAGCGGAGTGACCCAAAGGCATTAGCCATGATGTTAAAAAGGCAAATAGCTGCATGCCTTATAATAATCTTTAGACTGATGCTATCCTTCCCTCGTTAAATAGATGTATCTCAGGATCTCCAACGTACTAATGGCACTCAAGGTCGGAGATAGACAAACTTATAGGAAGGTCAATGAGGCAGAAAAACCATTTTGTATGGGCTAAGGCCAGTTTGTCTTTAAGATGTTTAGGTATCTTGCACAGTTGCTTTTGTTTTCTTGTCCAAACACATATTTGTGTTTTGTTTTATGAAACAAAAATAGAAAAAAGTACTCTCACAATAATCCCAATATCCAAACACTCACAAAAAAAAATGAACAAGAACTAAACAAAAACAACCTGTTAAAGCGATCAGGGAAGTTGACTCAATAGTGAGCTTAGTTGGAAAAAGTACATTCTGCTATAACATTGACACATAATGTCAAGCCTAAGAGCACAACAACATACCCAGTATAATCCCACAGGTGGGGTCCTGGGAGGGTAGTGTGTACGCAGACCTTACCCCTACCTGGAGAGTGAGGTTGTTTCCGAAAGACCCTCGGCTCAATAAAAGGTGGAAAGGAAGAAATTATCTGCCTAATAACCTGATGCATGCCTTACCTGGACGATATATTGATACGAAAGCATCATTCGTCACCAACTACAGTTTCCAGTTAGTTCAAAAATTAAACCTCCTACAGAACCCTCTCCTCCTTACCAACAGTAATTGAAAATATTCAGCAGCAATACCTTTTGGGGTGGGGGAGGAAATGAATAGAGGCAACACACACATACATCAACTAGAAATTTTTGACGTTAACAAATCCTTTTAATTTGGACTTCGCAAAGACCCACCCATGAGTCAAATACACAGTCAATGCAGGCAAAAGCTGCAACTAAACTCGATTCCTAGATCACTTAATCCATTTTTTTGGATAACAGTCACAAGTAGTTGACAAAAGCTTATTTTGATAGCAAGATCATGGAGTCATAAATCGAAGCAAGTTCAAAAACTATGTACACATAGGCAATGCCACAATGAAGAGCAAGAATGAGGAAAAACAACCAGCAATTGAGTGAATTAGAGATTATTAAAGAGATGAACTAAGGGTACGGCTAAAGCAGAGGTCCAAAGGTCCATGTTGACGCGCCATGGAAAAGGAGTTAATCTTCACAAATGAGGCACACTATTCAGAAGTTTTCATGCTATAGATCTCCAGTCCAGATGGGATTATATTTCATCGGCGCTATTGTATTAGTCCTGCTCCTATTCTTCACGCTACAGATCTCTAGTCCAATTATGATATGTTTCACAACATACTGCATACTTTCTATTAAGTTAGTCCTACTTTGACTCAAACAATAAGAGAAGTTGAAAATGTGTTGGTAAGTACTTGATTAATTTTGATCATTAAACTTCAGATTTGCTGAGATTAGCCCCAATCTAGAGTTTGACCTTTAACCTGTCTTAAGCTTAAACAACATCTCAAGTGTGTTATCTTCCTTTGTTCTTCCTAGTAGTTTTAGCTAGAGACAAAGAAACATGAGTTTGTGACTGTAATAGTTACCTGCCAACCGCACCAAGCACTGAAAATGAATTGGAAACAGAATAGAATCAAAAGTTGAAGATTATAAATACAAAACCAAACAGAAAGCCAGATGAATTGATGAATCCATCAACAAGGAAACAAGAAATTCATGCTGAATTTAATATGTTATCAGGTTACGATGTACTGGAAGGTAATCCGTACAACAAAATAATTTCAAACAAGTTAAGATGATACGGTTATATGCGATTTCACCACCAACACGGGATGTACATAGCAATGAAGGTGGAAAGCATACCACAATTAAAAACTTTTTTGCTAACCGAAAAAATCACCGAGGGCCAGCTGGGACACCCACAATTAGAAACTTAGAGTTCCTATCAAGTATCATAAATGTTCTAATAATGCAATGTAATCAGCAAATAATGTTTTACATGTCTTTGGTTGATGTCATTAGAGAAAGAGTCCAAGCACAGATCCACTAATAATAGCTCATCCGAATTTCCCATCTACGCCTCAAGAAACAAAACAGCACTGATCCGCACTATCTTTTGTCAACCGAGAAATCGCAGTGCACCAATGGCCCACGGTTTGGAACTTGGTAGATGATGGGCCCGCCCCTCTACCCTTCTCCACTTAAATAACAGACTTTTGTATGAGGCAGGATTCGAACCTGTGACGTGCCAAACCCACACATCACAAGTTGCGCTCTTACCAATTATGATACACAACTATATATATCATACACAGTTATACAATGTCATCTCTCAGTTCTCAACAACCCCATAATACAAATCATGTGTAGCAAACTAGTCTATCACTATAAGCAACACTCTTTTTTTTCAGCCTCGTGACCTCCTAGTCACATAGAGGCAACTTTACCGGTTACGGCAATGCTCCCCTACATATGCAAAACTTCATAGAGGAAATTATAAACAATCAGCAGCCAAATGAGAGTGAAGTAATAATACAAGAAAAAGTAAATAAAAAAGCTAACGTTTACAGTTCAGTATGCAAAGTTTAAACTTTTTAACATTAACAGATAAAGAATAATACTTACATCAATACCCAATATAACAGCACCTTCAGCAAGGAACAGAGTCATATGACTGGTTAAATTAAACGGCGCCGTTAACCAATAGCCAGGTGGCACATTAAGCTGCCCCCCACCTTTCTTACCAAGTTTAGAAATAGCTAACACTGCCCTCTCAAACGCTGCCGTATTCAATGTAACGCCGTCACCAACCCCGCCAAAATCCGTTAAGTTAAAAGCCATCGGACGGAGCTTAGGCATCTGCTTTACCGGAAAATCCCGCCGGAAAAACAAGAGTCCGGTAGTAACATCCCTTTGCCAATATAAAACAGAAAATATAAAGACGATCCAAAGAGCAGTGAAAAGGGTTTTTTGGTTGGAGAATAGTGAAGGGATCCATCGACGTGGGTGGTGGAATTGAGTCCACCGCCATGAAGACGACGGCGTTAGCGTTAGAGTCTCCACCATTATTGAATGTTTAAGTTGGAAATGGGAGTAATGTTGTGTGCATGAAAATATAGCAGCAAAGACAATAATGCTAACTGAAAGATTCAAGAAAAAAAGAAGAAATAATATGGAAGGTGAAGTGTAGTGGTCGAAATCAGTGAGATTGTTAGGTAAATTTTGATGAAGTGGATTCAAAGGAAGAACAATGTTTTGAGATACAAAGAATAAAGGGTTTTAATCTCATGTAGTTTGATGAAACAGTAGGTGCTACTTGCCTTATCTACTGCCATGTGGCTCTACACTTTGCCCTAATATTAAGATTTAACGAAATTATGGGTTCGGGATTATAGTTCTTTTAAACTATTAGGTTATTAGTTAACAAATATCTCATACAGATAAGAGACATAAGCCTAAAGAGAGCCAAAAAGGAATCTTTTATATATAGTCCTGCATAATCTCCAATATTATCATTTGCTTTTGCACTCGAGGGCTAATCTCTATTCGGCTCGAGGAAACCTACGCACGCCTTCGTTAACTTTTGGTTGGCTTACACCCCATAGAAATTGTCTACTTGAGACCCTTCTTGTAGGTCCTGACACAAGGTTAGAATTTTAGCCCCTCCAAAATGGTATCTCACTAATGACTCGACCCCCCACCCTAGGGGTGTACATTCGATTTTGACCCTTATCGATAATTACTTATCGATTATCGATTTGTACATATGCTTATCGGTATTGTTTCAATAAGGTTTCGATTTTTTTGATTTCGATTTATCGATTTTGGGGGCTTATCAATTCGGTTATCGATTACACCAATAAAAAAATATGCGAGATTTCACGGAAAATATATCGCTATAAACGCGCCTAACTAATATGGACAAAAAGAAGCTAAAATAAGACGAACACCATTTATAATATAAAAATTGTGTCAACAAGCACATGCAACAAAACTAAAGTAAGGGATCAATTGTATGTCACCAACACTCCAACGGTATAAAAAAACAAAACAAAACAAAACAAAACAAAACACATCATCACGGCTAATTCTATTTTCCATTAATTTGAACTTCATTCCCTTGATCTTTAAATATGACCATTCCTTAAATGTGGTAGAGGAAATAATAGGGTAAGGGACTTAGGGTAAAGAAAAGGGTATAGATTAGGAAAAATAATATTGTATAGCCGCTTTCAAAATAGTAGCGGAATATATATACATTCTGTATGTTATATTAATCTACACAAATAGGTAATTACTCATTTAACAAGTGTCTACAGTCTAGGGTGTGCATTCGATTTATCGATTCGATTTTGACCCTTATCGATAATTACTTATCGATTATCGATTTGTACATACGCTTATCGTTATCGTTTCAATAAGGTTTCGATTTTTTCGATTTCGATTTCGATAACAAATAATCGATTCCATTTATCGATAAACCGATTCGAATGCACACCCCTACCCCACCCCCAGAAGGAGGCCTTCTTCACCTTCCACATAAGTTGCGGAAGAAAGCCCTTATAATTTGTATAATTCAGGAGATTTTTTAAGATAAAAATAGAATTTGAATCAAAAGCTATTGGGTTGGGCGAAAATGTAATTGATCCGTCCCAAGTAAAAAAAGAATTTCACATTAGTATATTTAAATTATTGTAAGAGGTCAAATTTCTTATTTTTTAGATTACTAATTTTATTTATTATGAACAATTTCATATAGTTACTCTTTTAAGTAACATGAATAAATGTCACTCATAATTATGTCTGTTGAAGTAAATCTTTATATTTCTTTATTATTAGATTTTAATGACTATTTCATTGTTCTTATGGAGTAAATCATGAATCTATGATATGTATGTGTAAGTTTAGCATGTGAAACTATGCAATGGACATAATCTATTTATTAATGGCATTAGATATGTTATGTTCAAATTAATATTAATTAACTCAAAGATGTGTTCTAACTAACAACCGATTTAACATAAATAATCCTTTTCATTTTGTTTTCCAAAGGGGAAGTTTCTAACTTTAATGTTGGTTTCTCATTTGACTTAAATATATCTATACTATATTAAAAGCACGAAGGCCCTTAAGGAAATATTATTCGTCCTTTTTACCCTTTAAAAATTGATTTCACATTGGACAAAATTATATTTAATTATTTTTCCTAATATTAAGGACTTTAATACAACTAGAATTTCTTTCCTTGTTTGTAGCAAATCCTAATATTTAGGAATTAAAAAGAAACTAAACTTACCTTATATATTTCTTTTCCTTAGTTGAATTGTATATCACGTGAATAAAACTATACAATTTTTAGGACTATCTAATCTTAACATGAATCCTTGCTGCTTATTCAAATAGTACTATTAGTTCAACATTTTAGATATTTGGAATATATTAAACTTTTGGTTATTAAATACTTTAACTGTGTAAAAAATTATAATATTAATATAAGACTTTAAAATTAACTAAACTTTCACTTTATCTAATTTTAGTTTGAATTGAATTATATAAGATTCTTTTATTATTCAAAACGTCACCATTTTTTTTTGGCGTAAGATTTGGCACACATAAGCTATAACTCAAAAGTAAAATACTCATTATATTTTGCAAATTTAAAAGTAATATCAAATTATTAATATAATTTTTTCTTTAAATTTTAAATAACAAAGTCAACTTATTTTACATTAGACAAAATTATCATTTAATTATTGTTCTAATAGTTTGAATTTTCAAATCAGCTAGAATTTTGAATATTAACTTTTTTTTTATTGAAATTTATAAAAAAAGAATCACAAAATCTAGACTTCAAAATCAACTTAATTTACCATTTCTAAATGTCCTTATTTAAAGCCAGTTAGTAGTAAAGTTGAATTGAATTATACGATTCTTTTATTATCAAAATGTTTAAAATTAAGAATTCAAATTTCCATCATTTTTCATATTTACGACTTTGAAGGTACTAGAAAATAGGCACACGGAAGCTATAACTCAAAAGTAAAATGCTAATTAATCTTTTTTTCCCGTCAACTGTAGTTTTTTCTTGAAATTGTAAATAATATTAAAGTTAATTATTTAGAAACAAATTTGTCAAAGTATTTTCTCATGTGTTATACTTAAAAGGTAGGACTCTTGAAAAAATATCTTAAATCTCCATAGGTGAAATGTTCATGCTGAAACTAAAAAGTAAGTATGATAATTTATAAAATTGAATCGATAGTATTGTAAAATTAGAATTTTTTTTAAGGTGAATATATTAAATGATAATTGAAGACTTCTATAAGGCAGAGTTTTTTCGAATTGAGTTAGCTACATAGGATCAACATTCATTAATTTCAGGAGCTTATATATTTTTTTAATAATTGAAACATAAATTTTAAATTAATTTTTATTTATATTACTCATTGAGATGAGGTACAACTTTCATATATGGACAAAATTATAATTTAAGTGACTTTTCTATTATTTAGGACTTTAAAATTAATTAGAATTTTACATATTAAATCTTTCATTATTAAACTCGGTAAGAAATCATAATATTTAGTAATTTAAAATTGATTAATAGTTTACAATATATAGGTTACACGGATAAAATACAACATTTGTGCCATGCTCATAAAATCAAGATGGCAACGATTTTATACGTGCATTCAATTGATTTCTTATTAACTTAAAATTGTTTAATACAATAACGTATAATTAAAATTGTTTCAATGCAAGACAATTAAATATAAATTTTAAAAATTCTTATTTTAGTTACACAAAATAATTAACCCGTGTTTAGTTAAGCACTCAAATATTAAATAGCACATTTAATCGAACTAAACAGTACAAATCTAAGTCAATATGGTTAGAGTGCGGAAATTTATACTAATGTTGATTGACTTTTTATCATTTAAAAGTATATTTCATATTGAATAAAAATATAATTTAAATATTTTTTGTATTTAGGACTTTAAAACTAATTAAAATTTTGCTTATTAATTTTTTTTATTTGAACGATGTAAGGAGTTGAAATATTTAGGACTTTAAAATAGATTATATAATAAAAAATAAAATGTCTAAAATGTGTATACACACTCAATAGATTCAATGCCATTTAGGGTGAATATTTCTTTATTGAGTTAACTATATATGATCAATATTTATCATTTTTAGATGTTTTCACTTTATTTTATAATTTAAATATAATTTTAAAAGCTATATTTTCTTACAAAAAATTACTCATCGAGATGAAAAACACGCGCAACGCGCGTACACTAAATCTAGTAGAATTAAATGAGCCAAGGCTATTGTAACGTGTAAGAAAGCTTTATATTAGTAGAAAAACATGGTTAATCTACCAACAAATTAAGGTTGTCTAAAACTGATTTTAATATCCAGTATTAAGTATGGATCTCAAGTTATAAATTAATATTACAATTAAGATGTCCATTTCGTAACAGGATGCATCTTAGCGTGAATAAAACTTAAATTTTGGTAAGCAATAATGAATAATAAGAATTAAAATAGTTGAGCTAAGTCAATTGACCTGTACTTGCAATATAATACAAGGTTGTTCAACAACACCAGTAAGTTTATTTATGGGGTTGTTAGAATCAAATTAGTAGCTAATTGGTTGCTGACCGCGACTTATTTGTAAAAAATGCACGGGGCGACTATTTGGTCTCCCCCATTTTACTTATACTCACTTTTTAAAAAGTTTTAACCTGTACCCACTTCTTATAAAACTTCAGGCATCTTTCTCCTCCTCCTTCATTTTCTTCTTCTTCTTCTTCTTCTTCTTCTTCTTCTTCTTCTTCTTCTTCTTCTTCTTCTTCTTCTTCTTCAGGTGACAATGATTTTATATGGTGGTTGTGAATATATTTTAATGTAGTTTATGATATTTTATAATGGTGAGCTGTTATGACGTTTTATTTTTTACTATTGCTTAGGTTTTTTTTTTCTTAATTACAAAATTGGTTCATTAGATTTATTGTTGTTTTGACAAATTGATGATTGGGGTTTGTTCCTGATGATATTTGGAGTCTATGTTTCAAATTTGAGCTCATTTGGAGTAGATTTGGGTATTAAATCGTATATTGAATTGTCATCGAAGATAAATTTTCGTTTTTGGGCAATTTTCATGTCACGACCCGAATTGCCCACCGTCGGGACCGTGATGGCACCTAACATTGAACCCGCTAGGCAAGCCAACATTATTGATTATTCACCCTTTTTACCTTTAAATTTAACAATTTACCAGATTAAAACAA